CAATTGTGAATGGGAGTTTGCTCATGATTTGGCTCTCTGTTTGTCTATTACTGGTGTATTTGAATGCTTGTGATTTTTGCACACTGATTTTTGTATACCAAGACTTTGCTGAAGTTGCTTATCAGCTTAAGGAGATTTTGGGCTGAGACGATGGGGTTTTCTAAATATACAATCATGTCATCTGCAAACAGAGGCAATGTGACTTCCTGTCTTCCGATTTGAATATGCTTTATTTCTTTCTTTTGCCTGATTGCCCTGGCCAGAACTTCCAATACTATATTGAATAGGAGTGGTGAGAGAGGGCATCCCTGTCTTGTGCTGGTTTTCAAAGGGAATGCTTTCAGCTTTTGCCCATTCAGTATGATATTGACTGTGGGTTTGTCATAAATAGCTCTTATTATTTTGAGATATATTCCATCAATACCTAGTTTATTGAAAGTTTTTAGCATGAAAGGGTGTGGAATTTTATCAAAGGCCTTTTTTGCATCTATTGAGATAATCATGTGGCTTTTGTCATTGGTTCTGTTTGTGTGATGGATTACATTTATTGATTTGCATATGTTGAACCAGCCTTGCATCCCAGGGATGAAGCCGACTTAATTGTGGTAGATAAGCTTTTTGATGTGCTGCTGGATTCGGTTTGCCAGTATTTTATTGATGTTCATCAGGGATATTGGCCTGAAATTTTCTGTTTTTCTGGTGTCTCTGCCAGGTTTTGGTATCAGGATGATGTTGGCCTCATAAAATGAGTTAGGGAGGAGTCCTTCTTTTTCTGTTGTTTGAAATAGTTTCAGAAGGAATGGTACAAGCTGCTCTTTCTTCCTCTGGTAAGAGACGGCTGTGAATCTGTCTGGTCCTGGACTTTTTTTGGTTGGTAGGCTATTAATTACTGCCTCAATTTTAGAACTTGTTATTGGTCTATTCAGGGATTTGACAACTTCTTGGTTTAGCCTTGGGAGGGTGTATGTGTTCAGGAATTTATCCATTTCTTCTAGATTTTCTAGTTCATTTGCATATAAGTGTTTATAGGATTCTCTGATGGTAGTTTGTATTTCTGTGGGATCAGTGGCAATATCCCCTTTATCATTTTTTATTATGTCTATTTGATTCTCATCTCTTCTTTTCTATATTAGTCTGTCTAGAGGTCTATCTATTTTGTTGATCATTTCAAACAACCAGCTCCTGGATTCATTGATTTTTTGAAAGGCTTTTCATGTCTCTACCTCCTTCAGTTCTGCTCTGATATTAGTTATTTGTTATCTTCTGTTAGCTTTTGAATTTGTTTGCTCTTGCTTCTCTAGTTCTTTTCATTGTGATGTTAGTGTGTCGATTTTAGATCTTTTCTGTTTTCTCCTGTGGGCATTTAATGCTATAAATTTCCCTCTAAACACTGCTTTAGCTGTGTCCCAGAGATTCTGGTACTTTGTGTCTTTGTTTTTATTGGTTTCAAATAACTTGTTTATTTCTGCCTTAATTTCATTATTTACCCAGTAGTCATTCAGGAGCAGGTTGTTCAGTTTCCATGTAGTTGTGCGGTTTTGAGTGAGTTTCTTAATCCTGAGTTCTAATTTGATTGCACTGTGGTCTGAGAGAGTGTTTGTTATGATTTCTGTTCTTTTGCATTTGCTGAGGAGTTTTTTACTTCCAATTATGTGGTCAAGTTTAGAATAAGAGCAATGTGGTGCTGAGATGAATGTATATTCTATTGATTTGAGGTGAAGAGTTCCGTAGATGTCTCTTAGGTCGGCTTTGTCCAGAGCTGAGTTTAATTCCTGAATATCCTTGTTAATTTTCTGTCTCATTGATCTGTCTAATATTGACAATGGGGTTTAGTACCACGAAGAGAGGGAAAAATGCTTACAATCAAACCTTGATATATCATTTATTGAAAATCACATTGCTATTTCAGAAATGTTGATGCCTGAAAGAACATATATTAGAATTTATGAAATATGATGGTGAGTTTTCCAGAAACATTATCTAATACATTATTATAATTATACTTGTAATTGTTGTAATTATTTGTAGATATCACCAGGAAAAGATAAGCAGACAAAATCAGGGTGTCTTAATCCATTTGGGCTGCCGTAACAAACTACCATAGATGGGGTGGCTTATAAACAACAGACATATTTCTCACAGTTCTGGAGGCTGGGATGTCCTAGATCAAAGCACCAGCAGATTTGGTGTCTGATGAGGGTCTGCTATCTGGTTCACAGACAGCCATATTCTTGCTTTGTCCTCAACATAGCTGAGGGGCCTGGGGAGCTCCCTGGGGTCCCTTTTATTGGAGCACTCATCCTACTTATGAGGGCAGAGCCCTCCCAAAGCTCTCATTTCTAGTACCATCATGATGGTGAATAAATTTTAATTTAAGAACTCTGGGGGAACAAAAACATTCAGTCTATAACATAGATAAGATCAAAGATGGTTTCCCTTTTCTAGAAGGTAATCATTTATACAGGAAGACTTTGATTTCCCCTACTATTTTTGGATCTTTACTAAACTCTGGAATAATTATACTTGGAAGAGCAAATATAAGACTACAGGGCTTTCTTATACAGTTATGCATATAAGCTTTGCATATACAGTTGAGAGCTTTCTAATATGGTTGTGGAAATTATGTGCTGGACAACTATAGGAAGAGTGGTTAACATGATATACCATATGAATCTTGCTCTCTAGCGTTGAACATTGCATATCCTGTGTGAATCCATGTGGTTGGCCTGCATAAATGTCATAGATAAGTCTAAGCAGCTTCATCTCTGATCCTTTATTCTGATAAGCCAGCATCACAGCACAAGACTTCCACTGGGAAAAGAGGGAATGGATGAGTTTGCAATCAATTTTGAGGTTAAAGTTTTAAATTGTACACTTAGTAATGAAAAATGACTAGAAGTGATAAAATCTGCCTAGGCTATTACAGAGAAATTGGAAAGGATGATTTGTTAGAATGTGGCTGAAGGTGTTAATGGCAAAAAAGGAAAATATATTCATGTTTTTACCACATCATATTGAGAATCCTCAATAATATGGTTATATAAAATTGAGAGGAAAACATGCCTTTTGACTCAGAGAAATCTTCATTCTTCCTAAGAGAGACAGATATATGATAATGAATTAAGTGCTATTGGAGCGAAGGGTTCCAGCAGGTGCAAGGAGTGGGAAGGCATTAGTCCTGAGTGGGCAGCAGAGGAGACTTCTTTGAATAGCTGACATTTTATTTATAAATAATTTTTTTAAAAAAATTTTAGATTCAGGTGGTAATGTACAGGTTTGTTGCATAAATATATTGCATCATGCTGGGATTTGGGCTTCTATGGCACCCACCAACCAAATAGTAAATGCAATACACAGTAGATAGCTTTTCAACCCTCTCTGCTCTCCCTTCTTCTCCCCTTTTGGGGTCCCCAGTGTTGATTGTTTCCATCTTTATGTCTGTATGTACCCATTGTTTAGTTTCCACTTATAAGTCAGAAGATGTGGTATTTGATTTTCTGCTTTTGTGTTAGCTCACTTAGGATAACTCCAGCTGCATCTGTATTGCTGCAAGGTACATGATTTCATTCTTTTTATGGCTGAATAGTATTCCATGGTGTACATGTACAACATTTACTTTATCTAATCCATCATTGACAGGCATCTAGGTTGATTCCATGTCTTTCTTGTTGTGAATAGTGCTGTGCTGCAATGAACAACATATGAGTGCATGTGTCTTTTTGGCAGAATGATTCATTTTCTTTAGGATATGTACCCAATAATATGATTGCTGGGTTGAATGATAGTTTTATTTCTAGTTCTTTGAGAAATTTTCAAACTCCTTTCCACAGTGGCTGAACCAATTTACATACTCACCAACAGTGTATAAGCATTCCCTTTTCTTTGCATCCTGACCAACAGCTTTTATTTGTGACTTTTTAATAATAGCTATTCAGACTGGTGTGAGATGATATCTCACTGTGGTTTTGATTTGGATTTCCCTAATGATTAGTGATGCTGAGCACTTTTTCATGTGTTTGTTGGCTAAAAAGCTGACGGTTCATTTCATTTTATTTTTTTAAAAAACATTTATTTTAGGTTCGGGAGTACATGTGAAGGTTTGTTACATAGGTGAACTCGTGTCACATGGGTTTGTTGTACAGCTTATTTCATCACCCATGCATAAATCCTAGTACCCAGTATTTATTATTTGTTCTTCTCTTCTTCCTCCCACCCTCCACTCTGAAGTAGACACCAGTGTCTTTCATTTTCCCAAAGCTGACATTTTAAACCAGCCCAAAATATAATAATTGTAATCCAAAGTCACGTGTGATTTCTGTTAATGATAAAAAAGATAATTTTTGAAGAGGAGTCCTTTTGGTAACCCACGTATTAAGGACTAAAGATTTGTACCTGTCCCCACCCCCAAAATCATATGTGAAACCCTAACGACCAGTGTGAATGTATTTGGAGATAGGGCCATAAGCAGATGGTAGAGTTTAAATGAGGTCATAAGGGTGGGGCCCTAATCTGATAGAGCCGGTGCACTTTTCAGAAGAGGAAGAGATATTGGAACGTGTCTCTCTCTGTGTGCATTCAGAAAGAAGGCCATGTGATACAGTTTGGATGTTGCCCCCAACCAAATCTCATGTCAAAATGTAATCCTCAATATTGGAGGTAGGAGGTGGAGACCCAATATTGGAGATTGGGTCACAGAGGCTGATTTCTCATGAATGGTTTAGCACCATCCCCCTTGGTACTGTCTTCACAATAGTGAGTTCTCATGATATTTGGTCATTTAAAAGTGTGTGGCACTTCCCCCTTCACTTTCTCTTGCTTCTGCTCTGGCCATGTGACATGCCTGCTCCCCCTTCACCTTCTGGCATGACTGTAAGTTTCCTGTGGCCTCCCTAGAAGCTGAGCAGATTCCATCATCATGATTCCTGTACGGCCCGCAGAACCATGAGCCAATTAAGCCTCTTTTCTTTATAAATTACCCAGTCTGAAGTACTTCTTTATAGCACTGCAAGACTGGACTAATACACTATGTGAAGACAAAGGTGATGTCTGCAAGCCAGGACGAGTACATCTACCAGAAACTGGGTTCTGCTGGAGTTTGATCTAGGACATCCAGCCTCCAGAATGGTGAGAAAATAAATTTGTATTATTGAAGCCACTCAGTCTGTGGTATTTCGTTATGGTAGCTCTAGTAGATTAATGCACCACATCTACTCTGTTTTCTGGCTCTATTCAACTAATTTTAGGCCATAACAGTAATATTAATTCATAATTCCCTGACAATACAGAATAGTTTAGTTTTTGCCTTGCTTTTTATCCATCAAATTTCATTAGATTCTCACAATAGGCCAGTGAAATGTAAGTTATTTTCATTGGGCTATTTATAAATGAAAAAAATTTGAATTTGAGACTTGGAGTTTCAGCTAATAAGTTGCTCTAGGTTCATTGCTATTTCTACTCAAATCCAAACACTGCTTTAGCTAGGACAAGGGTCAGAAGCTCAGCAACTCTAAATCATAACAGCTGCATCTCCCCTCTCCACCTAAATATTGTGGTGATTTTAGAGGGAAAAAATGAAATAAGATTTTTTTTCTCAGAAAAGCAAAGCTTCCAGAGTTTTAGCAACTCTTTGAAGCCTAATGCCATAAAGTTGTTGACTTCATGGGGGTGTGTGGTGGGAGGCACAGTAGAAGAAGCACTTATTATAGTGACTGTACAGTATAATCCTAGAACATATTTGATCTATCTTCTATATGAACTATTCTTTCCAAGGATGTACGTTCCAAGTCATTATCTTAAAACATCAGTTAAGAGCCTTATCAGGTATGGTAATGCCTCAGGTGGAATTTGGAAAGTGCAATTATTAGGGTGCAAACACAGCTTCAAAACCATCAAGCAATCACACTCAGTCAGTTATGGTGTTGAAGTGAAAATAGCAGCAATTGGCATTTGGAACGATTACTTGGAAACTCTGGTTTGTGTTAATTCAGGGGCACAATTTTTATAGCAGGAATGATAACTCTATTTCTGGAGGGCCTTCCTACCCTGCAGATTACGATAATCTCTGAATCAACCCACAGTCCATGAGACTACAATTCTGTGAAGACTCTCTGCTAATGCTCCCCTACTGTTTTTTTCCCACCATTCTTCAAGATGTATTTAACATTAATTTGCTCTCTGGATTGGTTATTGATTACACTGGAGCACATGGAGAAGCTGGCTAAGAGGCAACACTCTTTACAAAGTTCATTCACTTGAGTTTACAGAGGATGTAGGTGAGTCTGATCTGCTGGAGTCAAAGGATTTAAGGAAAAACAGTCTTTTCCTACGAGTAGCTAGCTTTGTATGTTAGCTTATTCCAGGTGAAATGAATAGGGCTCCTGATTGTATGAGGTCATGTGAAATTTACAAAATACCTTCTCAAACATGATCTTGGTTTTTCTTTCTTCCCTTTTTCCTTCTCTCCTTCCCTCCTTCTTTCTTCTCTCTTTTTCTTACCTCTTTGCCTTCTTCTTTTTATTATTATTATTATTATTATACTTTAAGTTCTAGGGTACATGTGCATAACGTGCAGGTTTGTTACATATGTATACTTGTGCCATGTTGCTGTGCTGCACCCATCAACTCGTCAGCACCCAACTACTCATCATTTACATCAGGTATAACTCCCAATGCAATCCCTCCCCCTCCCCCCTCCCCTTAATAGGCCCCGGTGTGTGACGTCCCCCTTCCCGAGTCCAAGTGATCTCATTGTTCAGTTCCCACCTATGAGTGACAACATGCGGTGTTTGGTTTTCTGTTCTTGTGATAGTTTGCTGGGAATGATGGTTTCCAGCTGCATCTATGTCCCTACAAAGGACACAAACTCATCCTTTTTTATGGCTGCATAGTATTCCATGGTGTATATGTGCCACATTTTCTTAATCCAGTCTGTCACTGATAGACATTTAGCTCCCTTTCTCCCTACTTCTTTTCTATTCTTCCTCTCTTTCTCCTTCCTTCCCTTCCCTCTTCTCCTCTCCCCTTCCCTTTTTTCGTTTCCCTTCCCTACCTTCTCCCCCTTCCCTCCCATCTCCTTCTCTCCCCTCCCCTTCCTTCTTTTGAGACGGAGTCTTGCTCTGTCGCCGAGACTGGAGTGCAGTGGCCGGATCTCGGCTCACTGCAAGCTCCGCCTCCCGGGTTTACGCCATTCTCCTGCCTCAGCCTCCCGAGTAGCTGGGACTACAGGCACCCGCCACCTCGCCCGGCTATTTTTTTGTATTTTTTAGTAGAGACGGGGTTTCACCGGGTTAGCCAGGATGGTCTCGATCTCCTGACCTGGTGATCCGCCCGTCTCGGCCTCCCAAAGTGCTGGGATTACAGGCTTGAGCCACCGCGCCCGGCCTCCCCTTCCTTCTTTTCCCTCCCCTTCCCTTTCCTCCTTTCTCCCCCTTCCCTCCCGTCCTCTTTTCTACCCTCCCCTTTTCTTCTTTTCCCTCCCCTCCCCTCCCCTCCCCTTCCCTTCCCTTCCCTTCCCTTTCCTCAGGTTCCCTTTCCTTCCTTTCCCTTTCCCCTTCCCCTCCCCTTTCCTCCCATTCCCTTCCATTTCCCCACCTTTCCTCCCATCCCCTTTCCTCCCATCCCCTTTCCTCCCATCCCCTTTCCTCCCCTTTCCTCCCATCCCCTTTCCTCCCCTCTCCTCCCCTCTCCTCCCCTTCCCTTCCCTGCCCTCCTCTCCCCTTTCTTCTCTTTCCTCCCTTTCTCTTCCCTTCCCTTCTTTTCCTTTCCCATTCCTTTTTTTTTTTTGCAATCATATAATGACTACTGGGCACCGTGCCAAGAACAATATGTATTCAGAGCCAAAATATTGTTAGTTTCAAAGAGCTCAGTGTTTGTGAGATTGAAAAATAAATAGGTGATTCTAATATCGGTTGAGAAGGGCTATGGTGGAAGCACAAAATATTTCCTAAACAAAAAGCTCCTAACCCCAAGTGAGCTGAGTGTTAGGGTAAGGGTGAGGTTAGGAAAAATTTTCTCTGTAAAGGAGCCCCTGAGCTACTTCTGAAAGAAGAAATTTAATTTAGATTAGTGACCAAGGGGAGGAAGAACTTTCTAGGAAAAAGGACCAACAAATGCCAACGATTGCAGATAAATGTATTTTCTTTTTGGGGAATACGAATAGTTTGGTATAGCTGGGGTTGAAGATGAAGGAGGTGGAAAAAGGGGTCAAGCTGAAGGGCAGAGGATGGGTGGGGGGATGAAGTTCTGGTCAGGTAGGCAATGGTCAAATCATGATGGCGCTTGTGTTCCATATAAAGAAATCTGGATTTAACTCTGAAGATAATGAAATCTGGATTTCACCCTGAATAAATGAAATTCTGAGAAAGGAAGAATAACAGTCTGGTTAAATTCTAATGAAATTTTTAAGTCTCTCGTCTGCCTTCAGGATTCAGCCAAATGTTCAGAGTGTTATTGCACTCTTAGACTTCAACTGACCTATATGCTGTCTTTACTTTGCAGAAAGTAGGAGAGCAGTTGCTGAGTCAGCACTGCAGGGAGACAAGTGTGTAAGGAACATGGATTATTCATGGGGCCTGTGCACTGTTCCAGGTGCAGCCATGATTGCCGTGGACTGGGCCCATTTGTAATGCAAAGGCATGGCAAGAAAATCCATTTTCTCATTTTCAGAGCCTATTTTATCTCCACGCTCCTGCCTATGTTACGAATTTAGGCTGATAAAGTGAAATAGGAGGCAGAAGAGCAAAGTGAAATTTCTGATGACTGTTTGCAAAAGGAATTTTTAGATGCCAATTTGTGAACTCCTTTATTCAGAAGGAAATGATTCAGAGAGAATATATGTTGAGTCCTGGTTGTATAAAACAATGAAGAATGGGTTTTGAAGTCAGACAAATGTGAATTTGAGTTCTGTGACCTTGAGCAAGTCAGCTAGCTTCTCTGCACCACAATTTCTTTATCGGTAAGATGTGAGTGATAATATTGTGGAAGATGGAATTTTTGGCCCCAATTTGTCACCTCTTCCTGGATCCTTGACTTTTACCTTGTGACTCTGAAGTTGCTTCCAATAGAGGCAGAATATACTTTCTGGTCCTTTTACTTTGGGTTCAGGCATGTGACTTACTTTGGCCAGTAAGGTACCTGGGGTATAGGGAGGAGGGAAGTAACCATGCAATAGGCCTCAATCCTGGATTTAAAAGTTATCACATGGTTCTCTTTCGTTCTTACACTTCTGCTATTGCTGTGAGAACTGCCCTAGGATTTTTCAGGCACCCCACCTTGAACTTCAATGAAGCAAACTTGCACTCACTCCACAGCAAGGAGTCAAGCATAGGGGAACTGGTAGCTTGAATCAGAGATGTTTGCCTGTGCCCCAGTTGACCCACAGACTTGAATAAGAGAACAATTTTCATTTCAAGCCACTATGTTTGTGATGGCTTGTCATGCAGCAATAGCAAAATGATACAAACACTGTGATAGACTGCTTCTGAAATGGCTCCCAATGGTCCTTTCCTCATCATGGTCACTCCATGGTGTATTTTCTTTTCTTTGTATGTGGGCTGGTCTTGTTGATCTAGTAACTTGCTTTTAACTAATAGAATATGGCAAAAGTGATGGAATGGCACTCTTGAGGTTAGATTATAACAGACCATGACAGCCACCTTCCTGACACCTTCTCTTTCTCTCTGCTTACTCACTCTGAGGAAGGAATGTGCCATATGGGGAGACCTGCATGGAAAGGAACTGAGGATGCTCTCTGACTAAAAGCTAGAAGGAACTGAGTTCCTCAGTCAACAGTCTACAAGACACTGAATCTTGCCAGCAGCCATGCAGTGAGCTTGAAGGCAGATCTATCCCCAGTTGAATCTTCAGAAGAGACTGCAGCCTGAGCAGACACCTTGGTTGCAGTTTTGTGAGACGCCTTGAAACAGAGGGTACAGCTAAGCCTCAGCCACGTTCATGACCCTCTGAAGAAACTGTAAGAAAACAAATGTCATCTTAGGTTATTTAATTTTGGAGGTAGTTTGTTACAAAACAATAAATAACTATTATACTTATCTTGAAGATTTCCTGGGGAGAATAAATGGGATTGCATATATAGGTCATCATATGCAGAATAATGGTACCCCAGAGATGTTCACCCCAGAGATGTTGTAGGAACCTGTGAATATGTTACCTTACATGGCAAAGTTTTCCTGGATGGTTTAAGTTTAAGATGGAAAAGTTTTCCTGGATTATCCAGTGGGCCCAATCTAATCACATGAGTCCTAACATGGAGAATATTTTTTGGCCATGATCAGAGAGAAATATGATGATGGACGTGTCAGAGATGCAATGTGAGGGGACTAAAATGGTTGTTGCTGACTTTGAAGATGGAAAGAGGGGAACCCAAGCCAAGGAATGCAAAATGGCCTCTAGAACCTGGAAAAGGCAAGAAACGGATTCTCCTTTAGAGCCTCTGGAATAAAATGGAGTCTTGCTGACACCTTGATTTTACCCCAGTGAGACCAATATTGGGGTATGACCTCCGGAGCTGTAAGATAATAAATTTCTCTTGTCTTATGCACTAGTTTATGGTAATTTGTTATAGCAGCAATGGAAAATGGATAAATAGCATAGCCTATTAGGACTTAGTGAATATAGGTTTTCTTTATCCTTTTTCTTTCTCCCTTTCTTCATTTTTGAAACAAATGGATTTAACTTTGTATAAGAGCAGTACTGTACAAACTTTGTGGCAATATTTGAAGATTATGGGGAGAATATCTTTAAGCCCTTTGAAAAATGCCTGGCACACAGCAAGCAGTCAAATGTTACCTATTATCTTTATGATTGTAATTGTTACTGTTATTACCCAGAGGCTCTGATTTCAATTCTCCATTCCGCTAGGAAACAGAATATTCTTTATTCCACTGAGGAAACTATGATACAGCCAGCAGTGAAAAGTGTTGGACATAAGCCTTTTTGTTTTCTAGAACTCCCAATGTTCAAATTTAAAATTTTTCTACAAAAAGTTTTGGGTCATTTTTTATAAACTTGTATGTTTCTGAAAAATAGCCATAGTTGGAGGCATTTACTCTTATGGGTAAAAAGAAGACTCGGGACATGAGAACTCTCCTCAGATATCTCATGGGCTGTCAAAAGGGAGAAGGAACCAATTTTTTTCTATTTGTTTGGTCTTATTGGGTAGAAGGAGTAATGGTATAAACTTCAGTGAACTGAATCAGAGTCACTGGAGCTGCAAAGGACCTGAAGCCTCCTATAAGGATACTTAACATATGAAACCAGTAAAGACAAAATTAAAGTATGTATGATAATTCTATAAAAGTGTGGTATCATAATTCTATAAAGATGTGGTGGAATGCACCCTTTCAATTCCCAAGGAGACTCATTCATTCTACAATCTAGTTTAATGAAATAATTATAGATGTAAACATGTAGGCAATGATTTTTTTAAAAGACAATTTTTACATTGACACAAAAATTTTGTTGCAGTGTGCCTGCCTCCCAGCTTCGGCTCAGTAGATGGACCTCACCCCAGGGTTTTGATCCCAGTTAGTGCTATTGTTCTTAGAAGAATATCTTACAACGTCAGGTGATGCAAAGCAGTTCACCAGGTTGAGGAGCCCATGTGTTGTAAGAAGACACTGGGTGTTTCTATTTACCCTTCTCTAAGTCTGTGACCTGAGGCAATGTTTCTAATGAGCTGAATGTCTGTGTCTTCTTGCCTTTGTCCATGCTATTGTCTCAGTTTCCCACCGTTCCTCACTGCTTAAAGTCTGGATTACACAGCAAGACATTAAAGGCCCCATCACAAACTGTTCCCCATCTACCTTTCCAGTTTTATCTCCTACCAAATCTTACCAGACATTACAGACTCCATATGTTTAGTCATTCATTTATCTCTTTCATGTCATTTAACAATAATTTACAGATTATAATGTGGCCATGTTAGTGACTCTTAAGGTATTACAGTTTAGTGGATGAAATAGACATTTAACAAATAATATAAAATAAAAATAGAAGTAAAATTGTGATGAACATCCAGAAATTAAGATATAACAGGGGACTATGAGTAGCAGGAGACTGTATAATTAGTGGGGGTGGGGGCTAATCATGGAGGGGCTGAGGAAACCCTTCAGAATTTTGTTGGATTGAGGCATTATTTTGTGCTATTGCTGTATCAACAAGGCCTAGTAGCAGTTTTAGCACAGTTGCAGGCATGCAATAAATGTGAATAAAATAAATGGATGACTGAAAAAATTGATATTGACAAAGGATAAATTAATCTGCACACTGTATCATACTCAATTAAAGCACACACACATATTGTTTAGGAGCACATATTAATGTAATTAGATATTAAGTCGTACTTTACAGTTTACAGTGCTTTTCCATGCAACACCTCAAAGAATTGTACATACACCAATGAATAAAATTCTTGTGTTTATTTTGTAGAAAACTGAGACTATGAGAAAGTTGCCCAAGGTAACGTATCTTGTAAGTAATAGAGGCAGACATAATGCTTTGGTCCTCTGGTCTCAAATGTGGGGCCTTGTTCTTCTTTATTTATGAAGAAATAAGGGTGGGATGATTTCAATAATACAGGAATAAGTGATGAAAATCAACACTTAACTGGATAAAATATTAAACAATCTTATCTGTTTGAAGGAATAAAAACACTCTCATTGCATTGACGAATCACAGGGTCAGATTAGGGAAAAGAAAACCCAGAGGGGTGAGCCTGGCAGATATAGCAGCTTGTCACCCAGGAACACCTGCCAATCCGAGAAGAGACAACTAAGAGGATGAGATGTCAGTCCAAGGCCCACTGTGGATGGGGAGCCACAGTAAACCACACATGCTTTGAACTGGGAACCTTAAGACCTCCGCTGAAGATGGGACAGTGAACCAGAAATAATCTTTTGTCCTAGGGACTCAATCACTATAAATGGCCTAATGTGAAGTTTCATTGCTAGTGCCCCTAGCCACTGCCAGAGGCAAATCTAAATTCTCCTTGGATCAGGAAACATCAATCTAAGCCTCCATTATTTCCATAATTAATATTTTCCTCTAAAATATTCAGAACTCAATCAAAAATAACCTGAAGGGAAGTGTTCCTTGACAAGTTAAATTTTATCTCTCAAAAATCATTCTGTCCATGGAGTTTGGTTTTATATATATATATATATTTTTTTTTTTTTTGAGACAGGATCTCACTCTGTTGCCCTGGCTGGAGTGCAATGGTGCGATCTCTGCTCACTCCAACCTCCACCTCCCAGGTTCCAGAGATTCTTCTGCCTCAGCCTCCCAAGTAGCTGAATTTCAGGCACCTGCCATTGCGTATGGCTAATTTTTGTATTTTTAGTAGAGACAGGGTTTCACCACGCTGGCCAGGCTGGTCTCAAACTCTTAACCTCAGGTGATCCACCCACCTCAGCCACCCAAAGTTCTGGGATTACAGGCATGAACCACTGCGCCCAGCCATTTAGATTATGTCTCAAATATTTTAAATTTTTTATTTAGTTGGAAATTATATGGAAATAAAGGATTCTTTCTGTCATGAAAGTTACATTCTAGCTTCCACTGGAATTCTGATACATGAAAGATTGTCATATAAAATGGACTTATGCATATGATATTACTACTTATCAATAACATGGAGTAAAATGAAAAACTGTCATATTCATAATATGGCATATAATAATATACTGTTAAATCATAATATATGTATATTATTTTATCTATTATAGTAATTATTGTATTATTATAATGTATACCAATAATATATATTAACTAAAAATGCTGTAATATTCTTTTAAATATTAATAATAATAAAATATGCAGTATATTCCATTTTATCAGCAACTCCTTATATGAGCACCATTTATCCTTAATGATTATTCCAAGACTCATCAGAGAGTAGGCATTCAAGATTACCTAATGAATGAATAAGTCAAGATGTAGTCTTTCAATATTGCAATCATTCTTGTCAGGTATCTCTCAAATTTGTCAATATCAATTAAAAAATGTGACGCTCACAAACTGACACATTAGTTGTTGGTGTGCTCTCAACAGCAATGGCCCTATTTTCTCACAGAACTGACTTATAAGGCACTCTGCATCCAATAAACCTGTAAATCTGGTTTCACACAAACTGCTCTTATTCTAGGTTATTCTTCATCCTGAACTTGTGCAGTTAATTTTTAGAACCTCAGTAGAAGAGTTTGCATTAATTTATTCATTTTATAATTCCGCAAACATTTGTAGAATGCCACTATGTATCACGCACTGGCCTAATTATGTCCATAAATTGGCATTTTATTCATTTTGGCCCATTCATTAAATTGCAGGAGTTATTTTGGAATCTTGACTCTATTATCTAAAATATTAGATATTTTTATCAACTGTCACCTAAAAGTTTGACAAACATGTTATTTATGTAATTATAGAAGTCATTGAGGGAAGATGTTGAAAGGGACTGGACTAAATTAAAAAATAGAAGAAACCACTGGAATATGGCTTCTTGGCTGTCAAATTCTTATTCTCATCCAGTTGGGACTGGATATGGAACAATTATGACAAGGTGGAATTTCAGATATCCAGTATGATTTAAGGATAGTGTGGTTCCTCTTGATAATGTTTAAGAGGCTATCCAAGAAAAGAGATGAGAAGGTCCTGTTCCAAAAGGGACAAGGCCAGTGCCCAAGGGCACCTAAGAAAGAAGCAGCCAGGAACATAGCCAATGAGGGGAGAAGAAACTAGGAAAAGTGATGAGTTAGGCTTATAGAGATAGGCTTATAGAGATAGGCTCATAGAGGTAAGTCTTTAGAAATTCCCTAGGAAAACTGTAGGTGGTCATGAGAGAGTTTTTAGAACATTCTAAGTTCATCTTGTGTGAGTGTGCCAACGTCTTTTCATGAGAGTAAAGCTGAATGGAAGTAAGTTGACATTAACACACAAATCAATAATCTTTTATACTGCCAAATCTGGTTGGGTCCTTACTTCATCTCAGTTACTGGCAAGGAGTATTAATTAATTGCAAGTGTAGGATTCCCTGCCTCCAGACCAAGGAACAACCAACCAGTCATTGTATAAATATCTTTCTAATCATACCTTATAGATATAGAAAGAATTGGCACTTCCTGGCCAAAGAGTTAAAGGGCTTTTCTGATGCTCTCAGCTGGCAACTAGCCCAGAATTGCCTTGTTCTCGTGTCCTGGTCTCCTTTGCTTGGATTTCTTCAATATTAGGAATTTCTCTGTCCTGGTGAAAGAGTGCAGCTCTCTCACTGCCTTACCCCTAGGTACTGGGACAAGGTTAAGTGGAAAAGTTCTAAAATGTATTAATTCTACAAACATTTATTGAACACTGACTATGTGCCAGACACTCTTCTAAATGTTTGTAGTACATCACTGGGAAAACAGAAAAAGAATCCTGCATTCATGGACCTTTAACTAGCAGAAGATAGATAATAAGCACTAAAGGCAATCAGGAAGTAAAAAATACAGTTTCTTAGAAGGTCATAATTACTATGGGAAAAAGCAAAGTAGAGACACAAGGGAGATGAGAGATGTTCAGGAGCTGGATGGACAGATTGTTGTATTAAGTAAACTAACCAAGGAGGCCTCAGTGAGAAGGTGACATCTGAGAAAAGTCTTGAAAGAGGTGAAGGAGTGAATCATGAGAATCATGTGCTAGAATCCCAGGCAGAAGGAATGAAGTAAAGACCCTGAAGTAGGAGAGAGACTGGCACCTTGGCAATGAGCAGAGTCAGTGACAGGGGAGTAATAAGAAGTCAGAGAATTAATGAGGGACGAGGCCATGTGGGCTTATAGGCTTTGTAGGACTTTGGGCTTTTACTCTGAGTGAAATGGAGGGCTGTTGAAGTGGACAGTGGAATGAAATGATCTGACTGAAGTGTTAAAAGGATCGCATTGGCCTTTGTACTGCAAACGTATTATAGGCAAACGAGCCTGGATGCAGGAACATCTACGAGGAAGTTGTTGTCAGAGTCCCAAGAAAAGTTTTTGGTGCTTTGGCTGGGGATGATAACAGTAATTAGAACTAGCCAGGTTCTCAGTGGATTTTGGATGTAGATCTGATAGGATTTCCTGGCAGATCGGCTGCTACATGAAAGGAAAGGGATGTCAAGCATGACTTCAAGGTTTTTGACATCAACAACTGGAAAGATTAAGTTGTTAGAAGTGTGATGGGAAGGACTGTGGATGGAGCAAGTTTCAGGAGGAAAGCAGAGTTCAGTTTCAGACATATTGATTTTGAGATGCCTGCCAGACATTCAAGTGGAGATGTTTGAGTAAGCAATTGCATACATGAGCATAGAGATGAGGATGGAGGTCTAGATGTTTGAGTAAGCACTTGCATACATGAGTATAGAGATGAGGATGGAGGTCTAGATGTTTGAGTAAGCACTTGCATACATGAGTATAGAGATGAGGATGGAGGTCTAGATGTTTGAGTAAGCATTTGCATACATGAGTATAGAGATGAGGATAGAGGTCTAGATGTTTGAGTAGGCAGTTAGATTCATGAGTATGGAGATGAGCATAGTGTTTTATTTATTATGGAGAACTGACTTTTCTGCTTAATCCCACAGCAGTTTTCTAGGATGGGGGTCGGGTGGAAGTGGATGTAACTGAACTTTATTCTCTTTTGACTTGCGTCTGGGTGGGGTATGTGTCTGTAGTGAAATCTTCTACCTTTTCCCCTTTATGTTTCTGAAGCTGCAAACTTGCCAGTCCTTAAAGATAATACTTCTCTGATTCTTGATATTTCATCTAGAACTGCATTGAACTGATGTGCCTCTGTTTGGGTGTAGTCCCTGAAGCAGCTAGTTTTACTCCATATTTTTGCTATTTTCTTGAAAATTCCTTCCCTTCTTCACTATTTCTCTTCATTCCCAAGAAACCTGGATCCACTGACCTAGTGGTTATGGCAACAAGGAGTTAACAGCAATAAGTCTGGTGTTAACTCTTTGTTATACTGCCAACTATATTATGGTGTTAATAACAGTTTTAGCACCAACTCAATGTTATAGCAAATTCTAAAGGCCTCATCTTGTTCATAAGTGTATCATGAGAGGCTTTGTAATATGGCATTAGACTTTGTTACATGACAGATTCTGGGATATTTTGTTACATGTCAGAGATCTTGTTACATGTCAGGTTCACTTTCTCAATGGTATTATCCTGAGGTTTGAGAGAATCTATTCCAAGTGAACCCATAATAGTTCCATGTGATCAACTTACTTTTTCCACATGCTAATAAAATATGTTTATGACCATTTCTTTTGCCAGGAATAAAATTATATGTATACATCTTAATTTCTTGGGATTTGATTACTTCTTCTGCTTTGAAATTAGACCAAGTTTAGCCTGCCTTTGCTATTTTGGCATATCTCCAATTTTTCATGATTTTCTCATGTAAGTATGAATTTGAAATTTTTATATGCACAGATTTTCATTAACACTATGTCATATTCAGAGTTGGCAAAAGATGTCATTTTTGAGAAAAAAATAAAGACTTTTCTAGTAGAAAAAGAAGCCTGAGTGGTTTTCTGACATACGTTACTATATTTACAAAATAAACTGGTTTTAGAGATCAGTTTATAAATTTGACATAAGGTTTAGTATTTCCATTCTATTTCTTTAAACTTTTAGTTTTATTACGCAAATGACACAGGAAGCCGCAAGATTTGTAGTCATGGACTAGCTGTGAATATATACAGTAAATCCTTTTCTATGCATTTTGTGGTTTAGTTGAAAAACTGTGGCTTTGGGTAGAAAATCGAGGATTGAATCCTGGTTCTGCTTACTGACAAATTTTGTAACCTTGGAGGTCACGCGAATTCCAGTAAACTTCTTTTCATCATCTGCCAAATAGAGGTAATCATAAATGTGCCATGGGTTGTTGCCTTTTATTCATTCAGCAAAGTTATTGAGTACCTGCCATATGCCAGGCACTATATGATAGACATCAAGGATGAAAGATGAAAGATTTAACCCAGGCCCCCAGAAAAATCACTGTCTCAGAAATAAATGTGTAAACACACTAATAAAATTGAGTGTGGTCATTTCTATAATAAAAGGATTATATTGGAAATGTATCATTTTACTGTACATAAGAGGTTTTGTTTGGCTGAAGTCTATAGAATAATTCTAGATTCTCTTCATATTTAAAGGTCTTCAAATATTTTAAGAACTAAAAATGAAAAATTCTCACCAAATAACTTAGCTACCATGCAGACATGTAAAATATAACTTAAATGTATGCTCTGGCTGTGTTAGAACTTCTTTGAATAATAAAGTTACGGATGAAACAACAATCTCCAGTCTTTATGGGGTTTAAAGCAAGCTACAAAGTCAACCTCAAAACATGAGAAGACAATATGAAAGATTATGTGGTATGAGAAAATATTTGGGCTGATAGGTTTCTTTAGCCTCTCAAAATTTAGAATAAACTGGATACATCTCGTGGAGCTAAAGACCAAGAATATATACTCTGAAACCAAAATGCCAATATTCTGTTTTGTCTCTGTTTTTACTAACTGTATAACCTTAGAGAAGTCAATTAAATTATCTGTACCTCCTCAGTTTCCTTCTCTGTAAAATGGAGAGAATGATAGGGTTGTTGTGAGGACAAAGAATAGTGCCTGGAACATAGTAACTACTATATAGGTGTTTCCTATTATAATAATATCAATATCAATAATAACATTGAAAATTGATAGTATAAAAATGAATTTAGTATTCTTTAGTTAAGGATTTTGCATTCAAATTCCAGGAAGTATAACTCATAAAGGAAAATACATTAAGATCACAAAGATTGGAAATTAGGAAGTAAAACTACATTATTTGCAGATGATCTGATCATCTACTTTGAAAATTCAAAAACATTTTACAGGCAAAATGTTTGAAATAATAAAATATTTTAGCACAATAGCTAAATCAGTATTTAAAAAACTCTATTGTATTTCCATATACTAAAATAAATATTGGCCCCAGTTCCCCAGTTGTGTTATTAAATAGCTCTAAGACCTTGGGTAGGTAGTTTCACTTCTCTGGTCTTGGTATTTGATCTTTCTGTAAACTGAGAGTGTTTTGTTCAGTCTCTGCTCTGGTCCCTCCAATTTTAATGTATGATGGATCTCCAGATGTTTCTGCCTTACCTCACCTTGTCAGTGGTGCCTTTTAATTAAAAAAAATTCTATGACATTTGCTAAGTGAAAAGTGTTGTTTTACATGATAATTTTTTTTGGTTGGCATATGTATTATTATTATTATTATTATTATTATACTTTAAGTTCTAGGGTACATGTGCATAATGTGCAGGTTTGTTACATATGTATACTTGTGCCATGTTGCTGTGCTGCACCCATCAACTCATCAGCACCCATCAACTCGTCATTTACATCAGGTATAACTCCCAGTGCAATCCCTGCCCCCTAACCCCTCCCCGTGATAGGCCCCGGTGTGTGATGTTCCCCTTCCCGAGACCAAGTGATCTCATTGTTCAGTTCCCACCTATGAGTGACAACATGCGGTGTTTGGTTTTCTGTTCTTGTGATAGTTTGCTAAGAATGATGGTTTCCAGCTGCATCCATGTCTCTACAAAGGACACAAACTCATCCTTTTTTATGGCTGCATAGTATTCCATGGTGTATATGTGCCACATTTTCTTAATCCAGTCTGTCACTGATGGACATTTGGGTTGATTCCAAGTCTTTGCTATTGTGAATAGTGCCGCAATAAACATACGTGTGCATGTGTCTTTATAGCAGCATGATTTATAATCCTTTGGGTATATACCCAGTAGTGGGATGGCTGGGTTATATGGTACATCTAGTTCTAGATCTTTGAGGAATCGCCATACTGTTTTCCATAATGGTTGAACTAGTTTACAATCCCACCAACAGTGTAAAAGTGTTCCTATTTCTCCACATCCTCTCCAGCACCTGTTGTTTCCTGACTTTTTAATGATCGCCATTCTAACTGGTGTGAGATGGTATCTCATTGTGGTTTTGATTTGCATTTCTCTGATGGCCAGTGATGATGAGCATTTTTTCATTATAATTTTGATATACTCTTTTTGATATAAACCTCCACTGAGTTTATAACTTAGTAGCAACTGAAATATTAATGATACCTAACATTTATAATAAAATATTTTGTGAGTATTTAACAAGTGCATAAGAATGTGATTACCAAACAGGATGTATTAAATTCAATAAAAGAGATAGAAACTGAATAGTATTTGGGGAAATTTCTAGTTAACAGTCACTTACTGGTCACTTGTGTTTATTTCCCTTTTCTTTCTTGGATTTTATAAAATTATAGTACAGAATTAAATTTTTTAAAACCCCCCAAAAACTATCAGCCCATGAGGATACTGATTTCTTCTGCATGGTTTGCTTATGTATCTCCAGAACCTAAAAAGTACTCCATTGCTTGTGGGCACTTAATAAATGTTTGTTGCATGAATAATTGAACAACACAAAGAAAAGAGATGAGGCCATTTGAAGATGAGATATTTCAACAAATATACAAAAGACAATGCAAGCGGGAAAGTCCAGTTTTAGTTATATGGCAGATTAGATAACTTAATTGACCCTTTTGTTGAAAACAACTAGAAGCTGCAGGTTTTATGTGAGTCTTTTTATTAGCTATCAAGAAAGGAAGGAGGCAAAAATCAACATGAAAACAGGAACTCAGAAAGATAAGCATAGCTCAGCTCACTGCTTTTGCTCTGAAGGTAATTGACGAACACTGGTAACCTTAACTTGCATGGCTTTGAAAGCATCATGTACAAGAGATCAAGCCTAATATGAGCACTTCTCCCTTCTCATAACTGAGAATGCCTTGCAGTGAATCCTTTGATGAAGTCTAAACTTCCTAACTCTGAGAAGACAGCAAGGAGAAGTGTCTTAATCTTTTGTGTTTGTTGGAGAAAAAAGCTATCTATCCTAAGAATTTTAACTAAAAATTAGCAATGATTGAAATGCGTAGCCAAAATTGACACCACCTGAGTTGCTAAAAACAAAACAAAACAAAACAAAACAAACAAACAACTTCTCAATTTGATAACTAAGTTAAAAGTGTCCTAGATTTGTAGTATCCAAAATGCTTGACAGAAACAAATGTCACAACTCTTGCAGAAGTCCTTGAACTAGGCTCAATAAATATCTAGTTTCAAGGAATATAAATTCCCAGCTTAAAATTAAAAAAACACTGACACAAATGAACACCATGACACCTGGCAGAAACTACAGATAAAAGAATCAGACTGAACCTAAAATACTTCAGATATTACAATTATTAGGGAGAATATAAAATAAATGCATAAGCATAAACTGTTTTCTGTGTAACAAATGATTTAAAAATTCAGTGGCTTGCCAAAATAAGAATTATATTTTGCTAGGGATTTGTAGGTAGGGTATGGCTTTGCTTGGTTTTTATGAGAGATGATGGGATTTTCTGATCTTGAGTTCAAGTTGAAGGTTGGTTTTAGGTCTATTCCATGTGCTTCTTATTTTGGGACTCAGGTAAAAGGCATAGCAGCTACATGGGGCATGCTTTTCTTATGGTGGGTTACAGTAGTGCAAGAGATCAAGCCAAGTAATGCAAGCACATTTAAAACCTTGCTCAAACACAGCATATGTCATGTCTGTTCACATTTCATTGGAAAAGCAAGTCATTGCCAAGTCCAACATCAGTGGTGCAAAGGGGAAAACTCCTGCATGTTTGGGGAAAAAGGAGAATGAATATTTCATGAACTGCAATCCAATTTACTAAAACAAGCTTAAATAAGGGAGGTTATTAAAATATTAATTATGAACAGACTATAAAAATGATCAAGCAAATTTGAAAAAGAATCCAAGAAATGTATAAAAATGGAAAATAAGATTTGCAATAAAGATTCAATGACAATTTTATAGCACATTAGATATAGCTGAAGAGAGAATTAAACTAAGCTATATATCTGAAGCAGCATAGGAAAACCAAAAGATGAAAAAATGTAGATAAGAGGAGAAAGGACATGGATAGAGTGAGATATAACAAATATTTTGTCAGAGAAGAATAAAAGAGAGAATGAGGAAAGAAAATGTTTAAAGAAATTTTGGCTGGAAATTTTCAAGAACTTAAAGAAGACAAAAATTATCACATTCAGGAAGCCTAATTAATTTCAAATAGGATAAATGAAAGTAAATCTACACCTAGATCCATACTGCCAAAACTGGAGTAAAATTATTATTGCAGTAAAATTCCAGAGCATTAAAGACTCAGAAAGTATATTTAAAACAGCCAGAGGAAAAAAGACTACCTACAAAAGAATACTAGTAAGTCACTCAGCTGACTTCCGAATAGCAACAATGGAAGGCAGAGGACAGTGGGATGACATTTTTCCTATGCTGAGGGGAAATACT